AATTTGCATGTTACACCTGATCTTCAAATTTAATTGGTCAATTCTTAAAATGCGATGTATAAGCACATCACAGCATGCGATGCCTAATTAAGTCCTTATCATAATTCTAACCTATTATTACTTGAAATCAAACATAATTTCAAATATAATAATTTTGTCATTGATTTAACAAATTTGATGCTTTTGAGTTTGACACTATTGACTAAAATAGGATATATTTTTGGTTTTTATCCCAAATGAAATAGAAATCCAGATTCCCAACCAAAACTATGTAATAATGTCAATAAATGTCAATAAATGTCATAAATAATTTTTAAAAAAAGGTTGGGTTGTAACTCTACTCTACTTCATTAATGCCCGTTCCTTTTGCCTTTTACTTTGCTCTATTTGAGCTTCTTTTTGATTTATATCCCAAAGTCTGCTTTTATAAAATCTCAAATTATTAGTCCAACGTTCTTCGGTGTGATCAGGCAATTTACCCGCAGCTTTGTCCAAAGCCACTCCGTAAGCATTAATTATAGTTCGTAGAAAATCTTTGTCATCAATTTCGAATGGTAATTTTGGAACGCCTTGTTTTGTAGCAATGGTTACAAGTGACTTAGGATTGTTCAATCCAATTTGATCAATTTTGTTTAATATCCATCGAACTTCTTTTGTCATACGAATAGGGTCCGATTCAAGTGTCATCTCGAGTATCTTTGTTAACGCAGTAGCCTTTGGGACAACTTTGTGCTTAATAATTATACCAAAAATTTCTTTAACAGATTCTAAATTTTGCGAATTCCTACAAGCTACCATTAGTAAATCAAATGTGATTGATACCGGTTCAATGCCCAAATCAAGAGCTTGTTTAAAAGCAGCAATAGCATTGTCATATTGTTCAGACTTATTATAAAGTGAAATTAGACTATTAAAATTTTCAATGTCTAACTGGATATTTGGGAATAAACCTTTTGCATTGTGAAAAAGTTTAATACCTAAACCGATTTGTTGAGATTTGAAGCACAATCCCATCGCAAGATCTAATGATTTTGACGTCATTTGCAAATTATAAGGACGAGTTTTTATTTCATCATCCCCAATCCCATAAACGTCTTTAAGCATTTGAAATCCTCTGTCAATCTGATCAGAATTTCTAAAAACAAGAAGCATAGCGCAAACAAGCTCATCATCAATAGCATCCTCTTCCGTACGAATGCCCGGTTTTTTAAGATGATCAATTGCTTTTTGAAAGACTTTATCCCATATGTTTAATGCTAAAGGAACAGCTATATTTGGGTATTTATTGCAATTTTTCGCACAAGCTCTTAGAACAATTGTATGTGTTTCCCTATTAGCTGTTAATGTACCATATGATCCAGGGCGAAAAAGCGTGTTGTAATTATTTATTATTGCCTGGAATTCGTTTGCATTAAAGCAAACTTTTAGCAGAGCGTTTGCGTGTTCAGTCTTGAGCTGATATTCCGATTTACGCCGACCTGCTCTCCTGATACTGTCAACAATTGCTCTGGCATGAAAAACATTATCAGGCAGCGCACGGCATTCTACAAGACCATTAAGCAATAACATGTATGTATTTATGCTGGGTTGTAAGGCAAACCGTTTCATCTGTTAATGCAAATCAAATTTAGTTATTTTATACAAGATTGAACAATCTCAAATTGGTCATTTTACCTCGTTTAACAATCGTATGCCTAATTTTACTCTGTCTTTATTAACACATTCAAGAATCAATTGATTCCATATAGCTTCAGACTCAGCATTTATCTCTGATTCTAAAACTACTTGAACTGCCTTTTCTAATGGTTCTTCCTTGGAAAGCTTAATGACTGAAGTTAATGTTAACGAGCGATATCCAATTGGAAATATATTTGTGAAAAGTGAGATGTTTTTATTTGACTGGGAAAAAAGCAAAGATTTAGAAATGTATGGTGATGTATTATAAGATTTTATCACCGTTTTACTTATTAACGGAAAAAATCTCGTTATAAATGTCATTGGTTTCGTTTATCTAAAATCAAAAAAATTCCTTTATCGCAGCGTAGATTATCAACTGGTGGAACCATAAATGTTACACGAATATGTTACACAGTAGATATCTGACATTAGAAGACGTACGTACATTCAAGATAGAATTTTACCCGATAAACTTGATGCAATCAAGATACTACCGCCCTACTGCAAGAATAATTAAGTAGTTTAATTTAAGTCGCCATGTAAAATCTTAATTCGTTTCTCTATTTTGAGTTAGTCTATACTGATACATTTTAAGCTTAATATCACAACCTACATTTCATTGAGTCAAACTTTATAATTTATATATATATATAATAAATTTAGTATGTGTTTAATGAACAGTATAACGACAATGAATAATTTAACTTCTTCCAAAAAGTCGTGAGGTTTCCTTAGAACTGGACAAGGTTAAATGCAACGATATAGATGGTTCATTTGCTCTTGTATATCAACGTTTTCTCCTATTTCATTACCATTCAAACAGGTGCAGAAATTATTGAGCCAAATCTTCCTCCGCCAATTTTTTAATTCTATCCAGCTTATACAGGTTGAATCAGGTGCATACCGGGAGATAATGTTCCGAGTTGATTAAAATTTTTCCAATCGATTAGTTGTCGATTAGTTGCAACTAATAGTCACATGTTTTGACGGAAAGTCTACGGACAGTGCAAATCATGTGATTTTATATAAAACCATCTACCCTAACCGCTAACTAACCAATCACGTAGTTTTGTACTGTCCGTAGACTTTTCGGTCTACGGACACGCACAGGTCACGTGATTTCGCACGTACCAACGATCACGTGAGATATAACGTACGTCAAACCATCGAAGTAGAATTTTTCTTAATTTTGAACAAAATTTCTCGACAACTATCCAATAGAATTCGATGAATTTTTTTTTTTGAATAGATTCTGTGAATTAGTAGAATTTATTTAAAAAAAATTTCATCAAATTTAATTAGATAGTTGTTGAGAAATTTTCATTCAAAGGTTGGAAAATTTTTCAATGGCTCAAGAAAATAGCCATGGCAGAAATTTTTCCAAACTTTAACTGAAAATTTATTGGCAATTGTTTAATAGAATTCGATGCAGCTTTTTTTAAATCAATCCTACAAATTTGTAGAACTTATTTTAAAAAAATTTTTAACAAATTCTATTAGATAGTCATCGAGAAATTTTCATTCAAAGTTTGGGAAAGTTTTCAACACTTTTTAATAGCCATGGCAGGAATTTTTCTAAATTTTGAATGAAAAGTTCTTGATAACTACTTGATAGAATTTGATGAAAAATTTTTTAATAAATTCTAATAATTCATAAAATTTATTTTAAAAAATATTCATCAAATTTTATTAAACAGTTGTCAAGAAATTTTTGTTTAAAGTTTGAAAAAATTTCTATATAGCCATTTTTTTGAGACATAATTTTTTTTTTTAAAAACTATCTAATTGAGTTTGAGAAATTTTTTTTAAAATAAATTCTATTAATTTGTAGAATCTATTCAAAAAAATTTTATCAAAATTTTATTGGATAGTTGTTAAGAAAATTTGTTTAAAATTAAGAAAAAAAATTTTTTTTTTATTAATATAATGTTATAGTAAAAACTTTATTACAATAAACCTAAATTAATCTAAGGAATAATAATCTTCTTGTTATTAAAAAGACTTGAGTAAGAGGACAGATAAGTCATTTGACCAGGCTATCAAATTCCTTCAATTTAGAACTAGTTAATAGTAAGAAAATACAGTTTTAAAAAGAATTTTTATAGTAAAGATTTCTAACTATATTTATGTTGCAAAAGTACTCAATGTGACAGTATACCTCCTATTTCCTATTTAGTATTATTATTAAATTAAACAAATAAAATAATTCTAGTTAGAATAGGTTAGAGAAAACTTTAGATGTTAATCATAACATTATAGAAAGCATGTTGTTAGAGAGAAGCCTTGTAGACAATGTTGTACATGGGACATGTTCACACTATGTAAAATGTCCAACATCCAAGATTGTTCAAAATTGTTTAAGCCTATGTCTCATGTTTAAATAATCAATAAAATAATATAAAAAAATATATAATTATATATATTTTTAGGTGCTGGATTCATTTATGAAAAAATTAAAATAGATTATTTTAATAAAATTTTGAGTAATTTTAATTTGAAAAAATGTCTAAAATTGTCCAAAATTGTCCCATGTATATTACTGCTTAGAAGGTCTGACTATATATAAATATGTTTGCTATTTTTAAATATTTAAAGATTCCTTTTTTATATTTATTGAAGTAACTAAAATTAAAGATTATTTAATGCATTTATTGTCTTTTTTTTTTTGGTATTAAGGTAAGATCTTGCTTATATCTTTATTAATTAATTTAAATATTTTTTTTTTTAATATTTAGGGTGTAGCACCTGCCTCAGACTTTATTTAATACTTAAATAATTGACATATAATGGTATTGATACATATATATATTATATATAAGAACTAGAACTAGAACATTAAGTTATATAAACCATTTATCCATAGCTAAAACCCACCAGTGCCTTCTTGTACTTCCACTATACAGCTGACCTGGATTTGTACTTCTCTCTCCAACTGTCAATTAGTATTCACATGTCTGTCACATTACCCACATTATTTATTATCTCAACTTCTAAATTGGTATATGTTACTCTAGATAGGCACTTTTTGCTTCTAGTTTGGTGTATCTGACAGAGAGATTTCCCTTAATCCCTACTAGTGTACTTCTAGAAGTTTGTATCTCAAGCCATGTGGCTACCTCTACCCAATTGGGTAAGTATCTCAAGCCTGCATACTACTGTAACTAGCTAGTTTCCTGTAACTTTGGAACCCAAGACTTAATATATTGAATTTAGTAATTGTGCTAATGACTATACTTCCCAGTATGATGATGAGATGCCTAGGCATGTTTTATATATACTTTTAGTACTCAGTATAGTTGGCTAGCATCATAAGGCTCCTTGCATAACAAGTACATTATTGTTTTTTTTTATAATGATTTTCAGCAGTTGTAGCTTGGTTATAACTACATATACTTATACTAGCTATATTTATATTAATAGTTTTAGGTCCTCTTAATGTCTAAAGACTCCTATATGGGTATGACCAGAGCCTGTTAAATCTATCAACACGTACATTATTAGCAAAAAAAATAGACCAATATATATCGATAACTAACCAGGTAGATATAAATTAATACTAATCACCCCTGCCAATACTAATCGATATAGATAGTAATCGATATATAGCGTATACAATAAGTTGCAATAACATGAATATAACCAATATATAGCAGTTTTAATTTATAATATGTATCATTTTTATTCAATATATATCTACCCTGCTAGTTTCAAACAAATATAATATTTATATCAATATATGGAGTTGAGTCAATAGAAATCAAGCAAATATTTTTTAATAAGTTTTTTTTAAAACTTTATACAAGAGTAACTTAACAAAAACTTGATCAAATTTAATAAAATTTTTTTAAACTAATTCTACAAGTTTATAAAAATTATTTAAAAAAAAATTTATTAAATTTGGTCACAATTTTTTTAAGTTATTTTTGCTTAAAGTTATAAAAAATTTTATTATAAAAAATTTGCTTGATTTCTATTAATTCACCCTTATATATCGTATTCGATTTAGTGTATTTATTATTTATCGATATGTAGCAATTCAATTTTAGCAAAATATTGTTTACAAATTTGATTTATAGTAAAATACAATATTAATTCAATTATTATATATTTATTGAAATGTATAATATTTTAAATTTATTAAAAAAAGCAATAAAAATAATTTATTATAAAATTTGCAATAATATGCAATACAATATTTATTACAATATAAAATAATACAAATTATAAAAAAAAATTTATATATATATAAAAAAAAAAACACTAAAATTGATTGACCCCAAATAATTTGTCCATCTCTTCTTGAGAAAGCATCATCAATGAAGAACTTTGGGAGGTGAATACAGGCACAGGCTCAGATTCAGGTGAGGATTGCCTCAACCGTTGATTCTGGGAACAACCTGCAAATTCATTAGTCCTGATTGCTTTCACCAAAGTATGATTGGAGCCACCATTTTTAAAATCTACTTGTTAGAATAAAATATATATTAATAAATTTTCATTTATTGATATAAAATCAATACTATGTGACAAATACTTACCAAATATTGATTCATATATTGCTTCATAAGCTTATCTTTGCACAGAACATTTCTGGATCAGAAATTTAGCAAGATGTCACACACTGCCAATGTGAATGCACAGTGATGGTTTGTCAGAGTTGAAACTGCAATCATACTAAAGGTGGATCTTGTGATAATTGAGACCCAAAATACTTCTTCATTATTCTGCTCAAAAAGAGCATAATAACAATCATTTACTTGTGGACTTTCTTTTCACTGAATTATTTCAGCAGCACTAGCAGTGTTTTTTAAAGAGGGCAGTCTTTCATGTTCAAATACCTTTTAAATCAAAGATTGTATGTTTTGCAATGCAGCTCCTTGATGATTTTTGACCTTTTGTAGAAGCTAATAAAATAAATAAATAAATAAATAAATAAATAAAAAGTTAGTATATTATCGAAGAAATAATAAAAATAATAAGCAAAATAAAATGATTAAACCTGCAAAAAAGAAATATAAAAAAGCAAAACATTAAATGGTTAAAACTAATTAAGTAAAGATATTACATACTTGACTGCACCAACCTCTGTGAAAATTGTTGGTAAACTCATTTTTACTAAGGTTCAAGATATATTCAGGAAGGTTTTCATTAAGGTAGTCCTTAAGAGACTGCTTTAGTATATTTTGTGTAGAGTAAACGTAACCAGAAAAAGAAGTTTGACAATGCCTATATATACGTTCTGCAGAAGAATAGGCTTAAAAACAAGACCAGTACTATTCTTTACTATATAAACAAAATACTTATGTTCAGCATCTTCAAGAAAAGATCTTTTTCACATTCATTCCTTAAATATCTTAGTTTATTGCTCATTTTGTCGAACTTAATGCTATTTTGCTTTACTAGAAAATAAAGTTGCATATTCTGCTTAAACAGCAGCTCATTGACTTTCTTCCAATAACTAGCGTGTTTTTACATTCATTGTTGTAAGAAAAAAAATTTTTCAAAAAAAAAAATAACCCAACTGAGAAACAATCTAGATTATCAAAAAATTAAAAAAAAACAATTTATATATTGTACTATTTCTATTGTGTGTTGTTCCTGATTGGGTGATTGTCGATCTCAGGATCGAGACCTAGATTGAGCTCAGGATCCAGATCTAGATTGTGCTTAGGATCCTGAACTAGATTGCACTCAGGATTCTGTTCTAGGTAGCACTTGGGATCATGATCTAGACCTTCTTTTTCTTTTTTATAAATGTCATAACGGTGGTGATAAAGATCTATTTCATTCGCTAAAACATGATAGTGTTTGGCTGGGTCAACATTCAGATTGACATTCTGATTGATGTTCAGATCTACATTCGTTAGTTTGGGAGGATTGGTGTACAACTGGGGTATGGTTAGATTTTTGTGATTTTTTACCTTTACTACTTATTTTTAAAAAAATGCTCTGTATACTATAAATACTGTTGTTAGAATCATCATCATCATATTTATTATTTGATGGTTGATGATGAGGAGTATTTGATTGATATCGATTTTGATCAATGCCAACAGTCAGATATAAAGGTAAGTTGTAGTTAGAAAGTGTGTTGTTATAAGGTGGGTTGGTATAAGTAATGTACAGTATGTTATACAGTATATTGTAAGGTGTGTTGTAAGGTGTGTTGTAAGAATTGAAATAAGAAGAGTTGTGTGGAATATTGTTATATGAAGTGATGTAAAATGTGTTGTTGTGTAGATCATTATTGTTAGAATTATTGTTAGCAGCATCGATAAGTGTATTAGAAGTGTTGTTGAAAGTAATAGTAGGAGTGGTATTAGGAGAAAGATTGTTAGAAGGAGGATTGTTAGTAGAAAGATTGTTAGGAAAAGAATTGTTTATAGGCATGTTGTTGGGATGAGTGTCATTAGTAGGTAAGATAGAAGTGTTAATAGTAGGATTGTTAAGAGTATTATTGTTAGAAACTATTTTAAAATTAAACTTTTAAAATTTCAAATTTCAAAATTTTAAAATATCTTTACCTTTTCAAATTTTAATTGTTTATATATAAAACTTTGGAAAAGATGATGATATTAATTGTTATATATTATAAGACTGAAAGTATTATCTTATTCATTGTGTTTGGTCAACTTATATATAGTGACAATTTATTATTTTTAAGTAAAAGATAATAATGTTAAAAAAAATAAATAAATTATTATATCATTCATTGTATTTGTTAACTTACGTACAGTGACAATTTATTATTTTAATTAAAGGATAATGTTAAAAAAAAAAAAAAAAAAAAAAAAAAAACATTATTATCTCATTCATTACATTTGGTCAATTTACATATAGCAGCAATTTACTATTTCTAAGAAAAAGTAATAAAAATTAATATAATAACTCTTTAGTTAAATATTATAGTATTTTTTTTTTTAAAAAAAAATTTTTTTTCATTACATTGATCAACTTACATATTTGATGAAGTCAATTTAATAAAAATTAATGCAATGCACTCATCATTAAACATTATATAGAATTAAAAAAAATATATATATGTATCTCATTTATTCTTATATCTAGGAAATAATAATATAATTAATATATTGATGATGTTAATTAATCATAAAGAGAAAAAAAGAGCAAAATATACTTATCTTATTTGTTGTTTTGATCATTTTGCATGGCATGACAATTTACTATCAATATATATATAATAATAATTTCTGAGTTTTATTTCATTATTGATAGATTATATTAAAATAATTTACATAATATAATATTAGTTTTTTGCTTATATTATTATATAATACCTAGTTGTTTTGATTGAAGAAAGAATAGCTTAAATTGATATATATCAATTAAAATTATTTAGTTGTTAAACTATCTGATTCATTATTTCTACTATTTATCTTTTCTTGCATTCTTTAAAATCAATATATTGCTTTGATCACTCTTCTTTCTTTTTTATTTGCTTTTTTCTCTTTTAATTGCTTTTTTTTCTCTTTTTCTTTCCTTATATCTCCTTTTATCTTTATCTTTTAAATCTGAGAAACAGAATCCTGTTCAGGTTCCAGTGTTCTAGCATTCCTTTTATTTCTTTCTCTTGCTATTTTTCATTATTTGTTGCTATCTATTGCTATTTCCTTCTTTCTTATTTGATTCATTCTTATTCGCTTTCTTTGATTTCATTTACTTTTATTCTTTTTATTTTCTTTTTTCTCTTTTAATCACTTCCTTTTCTCATTCTCTTTCCTTATATCTCTTTTTATCTTTATCTTTTAAATCTGAGAAACAGAATCTTGTCCTGGTTCTGGTGTTCTGGCATCCTTTTTATTTCTTTCTTTTGCTATTTTTTGTTATTTATCACTATCTATTGCTATTCTTTTTTTCTTATTTGATTCATATTTTATTTATTCTTATTTACTTCCTTTGATTTTATTTACTTTTATTCTATTATCATTTTTTATATTTTTTCATTTACTTTCTTTATCTCTCTTTTTTTTCATCTTTTTTATTTTTTTAAAATGTGTTAGTACTGTGACTATTATAATGATAGTTTTTAAAATCTTTTGCATTGACACAACATATTTCACAAAGTCATTCCTATATTAATAATCTAATATATGCAACAACTCAAGCTATTCCTACTGAACAAATTGATGAAAGCATTTATGTTCTTCTAGAATATAATTCTTCTTCAGAATATAATTATGATAGCTCTATAATATATGGAGTAAATGTTTATAATTCATAAAGTTATTAAACAACTCTTAAAAGCATTATTAAGCAATTATATTTGTTATAGAATAAAGTTATACTAGAATCATCTCAATTCGAATCAGGTTCTTCTATAGACACTGAAATTTATTAGATAAATTAGTTGTATAAATACAGTAGTTATAAGTTATATGTTATAAAATACAGTATTATGTTAAATTTCTTTAATATGAAGATATATTAATATCATCTTATTCGATATAGAAATTGAATCTCTTTTAACAAATATGTCTTTTTTGGTGAAATGTAATCTTGAAGACTATAAAGATATATCTTATAATGATGCTTTTACTGATTTGAAATATCCACCAACTGTTGAATAGCCTAATAAAGCCTATCGTGAATTTATAGAGATAATTAATAAATATCAGCTATCTAACTTAGCTAGTAATACCACAATAACCTTCTTTAACAAATATTAAAGATTGGATATTTCACTATTATCTCTATCAACAAGAATGAGTAAAGAATTTCTAGACAATTCCACCATCCCTTATATAATGTTCAAAGAAATCCAATTATAATAGTTTAAAACATTGAATTTTTATTTTATTATCGATTATTAATAAAGACTATAAAGTCTTTATTAATGATTGATAGTATCAATCAGTCATTGGTTCTTCAATACAAAAGTAAAAATAAATTAATAAATAGTGTAAAACATCATATATTTAAAAAACAGTATAATTGTAATTGGTGAAGACAAGAAGAGTAGGCTTTACTTTCTGAGTATTGTTTACTATCGATTATCTTCTATTAAGATACAACAACCCTTGACTATATAAGTAAATCCTCTAGTTATCCAATATTCTTATCTCTTGGCAACATTCCTAACAATTAGAGAAATAAACTAGAATCTAAAACATTAATTAGATATCTTTCAATATTAAAGGCCAAGGATTCTAAGACCAAAAATTCTAAAGATTTTTGTAAATTAGAAAGAAAAGTCTTTTAAAAATGTATAGCGATTCTTCTTTGGCTCATAGTATATAAGCCAGAGCTTTATTTTATAGTTTGTGATGAAATAGACACTTTTATTCTTCAAGTATTGATGATTTTGGCCAATTTGGCTAAAGCTAATAAAATAGCTAATGTTTATTAACCATCTACTTCAAGACAGCCATGTTATTTATGTTTAGTAGCAAAGGATAATTTGAATAAAATAAATTTAACTAATGCCTTACCT